TAAAATCCCTTTAAAATCAAAAAAAAAATTGGTCTTGTTTGTCCACTGGCTGTACCATGTTACCTTGCCTAAGGGGTAGCAAGAATCAGGTGACAATTTTTTTTAAAAATAGCAAAAAAATAGTTATACAATAATGATTTAACTTGGAATTTTACTGTACATAATTCGATAATTGCTTATTTATTATGTGCTATTTGTTTTAAAGTAGTGCATTTGGTTTAGACAGTATAATTACTTGAAGTGAAAATGGACCTTTGTGCCCAGCCTTGCACTTTTCATTTTTCCCATATCATTAACATATTCCAGTAAACTAAATGATAAAACACACATAAACACATAAATATATATTCCAGTTTTAAGATAATAATGTATATAAATTCTCAAGATAAATATTGAAAATAATTGTGATGTCCAAGAATATTTTAATATAAGAATGTTTGTTTTTATTATTTTGAGTATACTTGATCATGAACTACAAATACAGGATTATAAAAAATCTTTCAGCTATAAAATTAATCTTTAATTTTTTATATCATTATAATAAACAAAATAAAAAATAAACAAAACGATAAAACTTGAACTGCCACGACAGTTTATTAGTCACCTAACCCGATATTATAATATAAAATCTAGTTACAAATTAAATGCACCGTGAATCACTTAAAATTTATCGCACAGTTTTCCAGGTCATTACGAAAATATTACGAAGACAAAGAGCCGAAATAATCATTCACTTTATGTATTTCTGGCTTGTTACAGTATAATTTCAGCCCTGTTACGAGCGCCGATATAGAGTCCGGAGTCCGGATGATTCGCTCGGTGACTCCGGGTACGGAAATGTAAGTTGAGAGTGATTACGGTGTTATAGATGATGTCTGGAGTAACTTTAGAGCCCCTGTGTAAATATTACCGAAAAAGCCACACCGTTTAGGACCGTCGGTTGTAAATATATCAATTTAATAAGTTTTAACTTCCCGAAGAACAAGTTGGTATTTTGGGTAGAAAATCCGATTGACTAATTTTATGTTCACGGCGTTTTAAGTCATTCTGAATCTATTGGTACTGAAAAATTGTCTGAACAAATATTCTATAACATTACCATGGATTAGTTTACTCGAATTACCCTGGATTAATTATAAAATTTTATTAAAGTTTGAAATGCATGCATGTATTAGGTGTGTGCATATTTTTTCTTTTAATGATGTATTATATCTAATTTAATTTGTATCTGTTTTTCAGTTTTTCATAAAATTGAATTATCTGCAATGATTTCTAACAATATTAACAGCTCCTATTGTAATCCGGCAAACAAACCACAATAAATTAATATATTGATTTCTTATTGATTAAGTTGATTAAATATGCATTTCAAAAAGTTCATGAAACTTAAAACAAATAATTTTGTTGTTTATTTACTGAAAAATCATTTGACATTGAGCAATTATATTGTGAAATCAAATTCAAATTGTCAAATCAATTAGATCACAACAAATAACACATATCAAACAAACAACTATCTGACTATATCATTAAAACTCTCAACTAATTCATGATTGTCGAAAAGTGTGTCATTTTTGCTATTTTTCAAAAATTTGTCATCTGGTTTTTTTAACCCCATGAGCGAAGTCAAGGAGCAAAAAGGTCCAATGTTTTATATTTAATTTTAAAAAGTTTTCACGACAACATAGCTACATTATTCAACCAATGAACAATATAAATTTCCTGGGCACATTTTTCACAGAAATAACAATGTATATAACTTTGATCTGGTATTTTGCCAGAAACAATCATCAGCAGGGATGGAATAACTATTTATTTAACTTATAGCTTGTAAAAGTGCTCTTTTTAACTTAATTTACTTTTTTATTCTTATTCATTTTTTATTTGCCAGGATTAATATTGAGTTGTTCCTTTTTAGCCCACCCCTGTGTAAGCTTTTATAGAGGTTATATAAAAAACCGTTGAATCTAACTTAAAGATTACAAGTTTATAAAAAATTAACTAAAGTATAATTAAACATTATATTAAGGTCTTGTAAACTAAACAACTGTGCTCACAACCAAAATTTAAATACGCAAGTGCAAAGTGGTTTTGATAAAAAGTTTTGATATCCTTCGTTAAATTTAGGGGTGAAATTCTGAATTTTGATTATAATATAATAGTAAAATAATTAATGTCACTCTAAACTCAATATAAAATATAATATGACTATGACTAGTGTGATTCACATTGCATTTATAATAGTTCAAATTACACGATCATGAAAACTAATGGAATACAATTACTACTTTGTCCTACATTCAACAAATATATCATCACAGCATTAATTTTATTTTGAGTTAATAATAGAGCGAAAATCTATTTTTAATTCACTTTTAATTCAATATTTTGCAAAATTCTGGAATGAAGCCAAACCCATAATTACTGGAATAATTTATTTAATTGCTAAGTTTATTATGCTACACTATTTCTTAAATTATGTTAGCAAAAATTCTGGCAAGTGGTCAAATGAAATCTATAGATTTAAATGAATGCACGTATGTCTCTGAATTTTTTTTCTTAGAATAGTTTTGAGAAACCTTTGTATATAGGGTATTATAAAATATTGCATAAAAGGGTTTCCCTATATTAATATTTCGGAAATAGCTATTTGGCATGAAACATCTCTGTTGCCCAACATCTTTCATATTTCTGACCGTCATTTCATTTTCAATAGCATTTTATAGTTTTCCAAGTGATATTGAATCGATTCTACGTGCTTGCAATACTTTCGATATTTTATAAAAACAATAGTACCTGAAACGATTCTATACGAATCCGATGGGAATATATAAAATTTCAATGACATTTTGAAGATTACACTATAAAATATAATTATATTAGCAAATTTTTGTAATTCATGAATGTCTCAAATTCCCAACGTATACATGATATTGCATTCATTTGCTGTGTTATTCAAAAATTTGTTAGTTAAGTATTGTATTTTTCAAGTAGATAAATGATATGAATAACCAAATTCTCAATTTCAACGCAATCAAAAATATTCATGTGATGCGTTTATATATTTTGATATGCTAATTTAAGTTAAATACCTCATTTAAAACAAATATAAACTCGTATTCTCAATTATCTTATTATTAAATATTTGAAAATTATAAGATTTGTATGAATAATACTATATAAATAGTACGAGATATTATAATGTAAGTCTTCTATCTTAAGCAAACTATCCGCCATCGGAGTAGATTTTATATCGTTTCGCAATTCTTCATTCAATATTGATTTTGAATACGTTATTATGGAATAGGTAAATTCGAAACACGTTTTACCTCTTGAGATATTTCAGCAAAAGCAGTATATTAACTAGGGTTGTAAAAATTGAAATATATTACTCTCTTGCCCCATACATGGTAGTAAAATATTTCGAGAAAATTAATTATTTTATAAAATTCACCTTTTTCAAGTATCTGTATTATTTATTCAATTTTGAACTTAAAAGTTGTATCATCAAGATTTAAAAATATCGATTTACGATTCACATTTACAACATTTTTTTTAGAATGAAAGTTATAAATTGTTTTTACATTTTATATGTATAAAATATGTTGAGCGCTACTATTAATTGATGTATCTTATAAATGCAAAATTATATTTTACGATGTTGGAAATAATTTCAAAATCAGTAAATGGAATATAAAATGAATTTCAGTGTCAATAAATTAGCAATTATTGCATTAACTCTGGGACGTTCTACTTAACCTAGAAAAAAATCCTTGGTAATTATTGACATACAAACTTTTATTGGTTAATTATCCAGACTTTAAAGTGAATATCTGTAATGGATATTTTAACCATTTTTTGTAAAATCAAGCAGATTCTAGGAGAAATTCATTCTTATTTTATGTTATAGTTCAGAAAACAATAATTATCAAATAATCGAAATATTAATCAATAATTTAAATTGAAATGTTGACCATGAGACGTTCTACAAAATCCCAGACTAAACTTACTGAATTACTGGCAAACAACATTTTAAAGAATAACTATTCAGATTTCAAAATATTTTTTTTAAATTATAAGTAAATCCAATTACAAATGTGCTAGTTTCAACTTTTTGATTTTAGAAGAAACCTAACTTTATATCGTGTCACAGATATAAAAAATTATCTAAAATACATCGATTTCAAGTTATCAATAATTTAAATCGAAATATATGAGCGACGAGACGTTCTACGCAATGTAACAAAAATTCTTGACTGAATAATTATTATTTAGATTGCCAATCAATATTAACATTAGTTGGAATTAAGGGACTATCTAATGCAGCAATTCAAAAAAATGTTGTATATTTATGAAGTTTACTATTTAATATTCCTAACTATTTAAAAATATGTGTACGAGACGATTTTTTAAAATTCGAATTATTTTTGGAGGCTGTATTAACATGATAATCCTCTTGAGTTTCCTTTCTTTTGCAAAACGTTAAACGCGTTTTTCTCAAAACTTTCTTTTTCAATACGATGTTCACGATATCTACAGGACCGATTCATTTGCAGTTTTCTCTGTCTTTTCATTTCCTTTTTTTTAAAAATTCGAAAAACTCAAAACTTTCGTTTTTTTTCAAACAGTCGCTATTTTGTAAATTTTTTTAAACTTAATCTTATTATATGCATTGGGACATTATTCTAGATAAATAGGTTTTTTTTATTTCGGATTACAATGAAGGTTGCAATCGTCGGCTTAGTCACGTGTCAATTTTTTGCGATACCCTACGTCAACAACAGCTAATCTTTAAAATTATTAACATTTTTCAACTTTCCTTCTTTACTATTGTAACGTTGATAAATCATAAATAAAGATAGTAAAAATTGTTTGCCTTTTTACGAAAATTTCAAAATGGCCTAAAATTTATGTCTTTACACTAGAATACTCCCTTAACCAATCCTAATCTCAAGGACTATTATTGACTATTATTGAATTTGTTTCAATATCTGGCTTACCTTCATCATGCAGTACTGAGATGCGCCTATCGTTGGTAACTCTGGCCGAGTCGGCGGTAAGCACTTGTCCTCTACCAGTCTTCCAGAGCACGGTGTCCGCACCTCCTGGTGCGTCCGAGGTCATAGGTCGGATCACGCACGTCAGCAACGCGTCCCCGCCTTCGACCACGGCCACGGGCGCCCTTTCTGAAATCATACCAAAGATCAGATCAGACAAGTTTGATGACCGAATGTCCAGCCAACCGAGTGACAGGTCTCTAGTGTAACTACGGATGTAAGACTTTAGACTAGAGTATCTTGTGTGGGACGATAATAGCTTCTGCTTGAGGAAATTTGTATGAATTGATTGTATTTTGGGTCTGAGATGTTGCAGATTTATGGTTTATACAGGTATATAGATTTCTGTTTGATATGCCGAGGTAATACGGGTTGCTTAGTGTTTCATGTTCATAATTTCATAATTTATTATATTATTGCTATTATTAACTTCACGTAGGGTAAGTTATAGTAATAAAATAATTAATAGCATTGCAATCGAAAATGAAAAATTTTATATATCTCTACGTTTCTGAGGTTTTTGAACATTCTGGCATACCTTAGAAAAAATGGATGTGTGCGCCCGTGCGTGTGTGTGTATGTATGTGCGGATACAATTTTTCGTCGACGATTTCGAGACCGATTTGAATTGACGAAATGGAGAACTGGTTAAATTTGGAGAGGCAAGTCTAGCGGTTTCGGATATGCCACAAAAAATGAAAAAAAAAATGCCATTTAGCGGACAAAAGCGATTGATTAGACATATGCACATCAAATTATCAGATGTTTTATAGATAATAATAAAAACAAATTGCTTCGATATTTCGTTTCTACGCAGCTAACGTATAGCAATTGCTTTGAAAAAAAAAGGTTCAAAATTTCCAAAATATTTAAAATTATTTTTATTAACTTCCCGTAGGGCAAGTTATAGTAATCGCAAAAAAATCGAAAATGAAAATTTTTATATATCTTTACGTTTCAGAGGTTTCTGAACATTTTGGTATACCTTAGAAAAAATGGATGTATGTGTGTGTGTGTGTGTATGTATGTGTGTATGTATGTATGTATGTATGTATGTATGCATGTACGTGTGTGTATGTATGTGCGGATACAAATTTTCGTCGACGATTTCGGGAACACGGATCAACCGATTTGAATAATTCAAAAAACATTCGATTCGTATTGATAAGGAGACGTGCTGATTAGTTTTTGGCGAAGGCAGGTCCAGCCGTTCCGAAGATACGGGGCAAAAAGTGCCAAAAACGGTACCTCCGTTTTTAAGAGAACGGAGCGTCCGATTTGAATAATTCAAAAAACATTTTACTTGTATTGACAAGATGTAGAACTGATCAAATTTTCATGGAGGCAGGTCTAGCGGTTTCGGAAATCTAATAAAAAAAGTAAAAAAAAATGCCATTCGGCGGTTAAAAATGATCATTAGACATATGCACATCAAATTGTCAGATATTTTATAGACATTTTAACAATAAGTATGATTTTTTTTTACATTTCTGTGGGTTCCGTACCAATGCTTATGCGTTAGACGGCGGCGCGGCACCTGCGAGCTTTGACATTTCGTCTCTATGCAGTTCAAGCAGTGCGATTGCTTTGAAAAAAAGTTCAGAATTTTCAAAATATGTCAAAATGAAGAAAAAATTTTTTTTCAAAAAAATTTTTTGTTTTCAAAAAAAAAATTTTTTTCTAAAAAAAAATTTTTTTTTTTCAAATAAAAATTTTTTTTTTTCAAAAAAAAGTATTTTTTTGTCAAATTTATAGTTTCTCAAAAATCTATTTTTTTCGAAGTAAAATTTTTTCAAACATGTTAATCGTTTTTGAAAAAATAATAATTTTTGGTACGGGAAGTTCCAGCAATTTGCCTTAAGGCACGATGCCCTAATTGCCTTAAGACAGAATTCCACTTACAGCTAGTTTCGAATATTTCCAAAGTATAGAAAAAATCAAATTTTTTAAAAAGGTCATTTTTTTCAATAATTTTAAATATCCCAAAAATCTTAAGGCACGATGCCTTAAGCACCACTAGTTAATCTTTATTTCAAGCTGAAGAACTATTAGGCACTTCGAACTAAAAAGAATAAGAATTAAATACAATCTTGAGTCTATAATTACTATAATAACAGAAAATATAATATATCAAGTCAATCGATTTTTCCAGAGTTCTAAATGAAAATTGAATCTTTCTTAAAAATTTTAATTTTTGGTACGGGATTTGCCTTAAGGCACGATGCTATGCCCCACTAGTTAATTTTAAAAAACTATTACATGCTTCAAGCTTAAAGAACAAGAATTAAATACGATCCTGAATCTATAATTAATATAAGAACGGAAAATATAATATATCAAGTCGTAGGTATATAATAATTATGCATTAGACCAGCAACAGTGTACTGATTAATAAAAAATAATCTATAGTTAAGACAAAATATTTTAATTTTTTGTATAAATATAATTAGAAACAAACTAATTATAGTCACAATAATTTTTATTATAGTTCTTTCTATTAAGCAAAATTTGATCCTTCATCAGAAACTATTTTTATTACGGTGGAGCGATCGTGTACTTTGTGAGAACCTTGAATTAAATTGAAACAAAAATACTTTTTTGTTTATACATAATAAATAAAGACGCATTTTAATCCACAGAAATCTTGTGTTTCAAATTTAGAAGCCTATCCACTGTTTATTAATATGCAATTCAAAAATAAAATATATATGAATTCAAATTGACTCACACATAGCTTTCTACATAAAGAGCACATGCGATGTATGAGCAAATAAAAAACATTCACTCTGCACGCAAAATGTAGAGAAAATCTTTTTCGCCGTTTCCATTTTATTTATCTAAATAATTCGTGTGACGATGTTGTGATATTTACATATGAACTGAAAATTATAACGGCGTCAAATTGAGTTTACACTCCGTATACGGGCCCCGCATATGCATATGGAAAATACTGATTCTTTTATATTTATTTATTTTTTTATAAATAGAAACGCATAATAGAATATTCATAAAATCAGAATTATTTTGCTTGTCACTTTTTTGTGCGAGTAAAATTTGGGAACGTATATCACTCACACATAGCGCTCTGTAAACAAAAACACTGAATGATTCTTTTTGCAAATTTGTAAATAAAAACTATTATATAATTAAACGATTATTAAGCAGTTTTTGATTCATTTCAAAGCTATCATACGGTTTCGCAGTTTTTATGTTTGTGTGAAAAGCACATGAATATAAAAATGAATTCTATGTACTAGCAACGTCGATCGTTCAAAATGAAATAAAGCTCTCGGCTTGTAGAGGATTTTACTTTGTAACGGATTAAGCCATTAAGCTCGTTCTGATATATTTTGCAATATTTTTATTATTTTCTGTTCCAAGTGCTATTGTTTAAAACCGCACTACAATTTTGAGCTTGAAAAACAGTATATCAGAGATATAGTTTGAGTGGATATATAACTAGAATGAAATATGTGGAAACAGAATGAATGTACTTCATCAAAAGCACAGAGATATTTGCAGAAGTGCTTGAGTTACTAAAGTCAAAAAATGAGTATTATAGTTATTTAATTAAAATATTATAAATAAAAATAGAACAATGTAATGATATGCATTTTTATTTGCAATAATTTTATTATTCAAATTACTCTCAACGTTCAAACTAATCAATAATAAGACTTGAACTGATTCACCAAAAAGATATGTTGGAACTACAGTAGTTTGTCATTGTCCTTTTTTACTATAAACTTTCAGAATCTATAAAGTAGACAAAGAAAAGAGATCAAAGTTCCCTAAGTATGTTTTGTAATAAGGAACTAACTACTTATAGCAAAGGATGCTTCGCTGTGATTAATGATCCTTTTTTTAGTTTAGCGTTAACTTCCTCTTTGAAAGCTAACCTTTTTGCAGTTTAATGTAAATTGCTGTGAAATTTGTAATTGATTATATTTAATAATATTGCAATGGCCATATAAATAAAAATTGTATTCGGCATTTAAAAGCTAATAATAATCTAGTATTTTCAAAGTGCCTGAAATGGGAAAATTTTGCTCTAAAGCATAATACCAAATAATTTTTATTAAATATTTCTCATATAAATTGGGTTTTAAATGGGCGGCTCATTAGAGCTGACAACAATCAAAATGACCTATTACAATTACATATTACTTATCCTCACTTAAAGAAATCATTACAATATATTGTCGATTTTGATTCTTGGTGACGTGGGAAATGAATTTTTAAATATCAAACATCAAAAATTGTTTTATTACTATTATCATTCATTTTCTTCTTCAAAGGAAGAAATTCTTTCTCCTCAAAGTAAACTGAATATGTACATATTTCGGTCGGTCTCAACAACAAACTCGATCACAATATCACAATATTATTTCGGTTCTACGCCGTAGACAATATTCCTCCTAAATTCTCATGCTGATGGCATTGCTTCGTGTAAATTTATGACTTACTGAAATATACAACATCTACGTCTACGGCTCATATATTTTATTACCGGTAGCATTATGCTCCCTGCCGCACAAAACTATAAAAGAATTGTTGTGCAATGTGCATTATGATGACGGTGCATGGCGAAATTTATAAACTTGGGCGAAAAATAAGAGGAAATAGTAAATCAACCGGAATTTCGGATTTATTTCATTCTCAAAAACATTATAGTATTTTTTACACATTTTAGTAATATAGTAATAGAAAGAACCACATACAAATAAAATACAATAATGTATATAGAATAAATAAAATTCAAAATTTAACTGACTTCTTTAAAGTATGAATAATAATTATTTAACCTCTGAATAGTAGATATTATTTTTGACAAGCTCTATATGTTACTTTTGAGCACAGTATAAAATCAATGATAATTTATTTATCAATTACCAATTTGAATAATTTGTAATATGTTGCTGCCAATATATGTTAATCTGCACGTCCGATAATTCGATCTGAAATTTGATCATGATTGACAAATAAAGTCATATGCAACTGCGCTTGAAGCGTGGGTATAATCTCGTATTAATTACTAATATTGTTCGTAACTACAATTAATATTCAATAAAGTTAGATAGTATATCAAAACAGTGAGAGATCATTGTATTATTACAAATAAAAAAAGT